GGAAAGAGACTAGTGTGTGAAGGAATTAGCCTCACACATACAGGGTCCTTTTCAGGCTCCTCAATCTGCCACATTTCCAACATGCTTCTGTAGTCTTTCTTCATCTCTCAAAATCCTTTTTGCCAGTGAAGCTTATTTTTAATGTTATTACTGATAATGACTGGAAGTCAAATAACTCTACTCACAATTTCCAATAAAAAGTACAGGAATCGAAATCTTGTTAGTCACGGTGGCCTTAAATCAGTAACTTCCAGTTGGGCCGGATCTTCACCGGACGTCACAACATTATTTCACGAGAAGTTTTCAAATTGGAGTTTTAATACTCCTCGAAAATGCGTATAGGTCTATATTCATGCCGAAAGAAGTTTTAAGGAAATGTGGCAATATAAGAAGAACAGAGTGGCACCATCTAAAAAGGTAAGAATTACCTCCCTACATGGAAAAATTAAAAGTCTATACCAAGGCCAACACACATCTTCAAAACATTTGATTAGAAAGCCTCTGAGTGGGACTTCCCTGGTGGTTCAGTGGTTAGGGTTGTGCGTTTCCACTGCAGGGAGCACAGGTTTGATCCCTGGTCAGGGAACTAAGATCCTACAGGTCTCTCGATGTGGCCAAAAAAAAAAAAAAAAAAAACAAGGAAGCCTCTGAGTGCATCTGAATGGTATCACCTTTAGATAAGAACAAGGAGGCTGAGCTCCTGATCAAGGCTCTGCCACGAAAGAGGTTTCTGTAATTAGGCAAAGAAAACGGCTTCTTTATAAAGTGTGAAGTTAGGCTGACATTAGCTCTGAAAATGTATTTTTTTACTCTAAAAATGCCAAAGTTTTACAATGTGTAAAATGCTAACCATTCTAGATGCAAACTATTATATATAGAATGGATAAACAAGGGCCTACTGTATAGCACAGGGAACTGTATTCAACACCCTGTGATAAACTATAATAAAAAGAATATGAAAAATAATGTATATATATATATGTATATATATATAAAACAATCACTGTGCTGCACAGCAGAAATTAACACATTGTAAATCAACTATACTTCAATAAAATAATTAAAAAATAAATGCTAACCATAAGACTGCTGTCTTTGCTCTCTGTCCCAGGTTTGGGAGCTAAGATCAGGATGTAGAAATAAACACACCCACTAATAGCCATAGCCACAGGGCGGCCATCGCATTCCTCACTCACATGTTTGGCAACAAGGGGGACTCACAGCCTTTGAAGGCACCTGCTGTAGAAGGTTCCTGCAAGCTCTGCCCCCTCCTGAGTTTTGATCTCTGCTTCTGGCTAGAGGAAGCAGAACTCGCCCCTGTGAGGTGTACTTCTGAAAAGTCTCCACGGAGTGGCAGCCCTCCACCACCAAGAAAACGGCCTTGACAGGGCTTGTGTGCCACCAGGGACACCTTCAACCACTTTCTGCAAACCAGAGGTGACCAGCCTTCGGCACACTTGCCCACCTGGTTGAGCCAAGTGACATCCCTGATGGACCTGCTCAGCATCAGGGTGGTCACCCGCTGTCCAGGCTGTACTGGATGCACCCAAGGGACGTGCAGGGGCCCAGTCCCTGCACTCCCTCCCTGAACTTCCAGGCCCTGCCCTGGGCCAGGCAACAAGTGTTGGCATCTCTGCCTAGTGCCTGGGAGCCGCCCAGGCCCCTGGCTGTCCCCTTCCTGGGAAAACAGGCAAGTTCCAAAGTTTTTAAAGTGTTATTCATTAGAAACAATCTAAATGTCAACCACAGAGCGATGACTAGGTACATTAGGATACACCCATCCTGTGAAATATTACAAAATCATTGAAAATAAGAATTTTGTACTTTTCAATATCTGATAAAATGCCTAAAATAGCTAATGGAGCAAAATAATACACCAAACCATATGATTTCAGATCTGTAAATATACATTTCTATGTATACATACATTGATACACAAAGCTGCTAGAAAGAAATATACCTCCCAAATTTACAATCAGTTTATATTACCCTATTTATTTAAAAACATTTTCCTTATTTCCTACCAAAGCATGCTTGGCTTTTATAATAAGATAGAAAAGAGTTCTGTTTTTTTTTTTTTTTGCGGTACGCGGGCCTCTCACTGTTGTGGCCTCTCCCATTGCACAGCACAGGCTCCGGACGCGC